TTTGCATGGAAAGTTTACATGGTACAACACAAAAGATTTTGTCGTGGAAGGAAAAGAACGTAAGAGATATTGCATGAAGAAATCCATTTATGGATTAAAGCAAGCTTTAAGACATTGATACTTGAATTTTGACAGTACAATAAGAAAGTTTGGGTTTAAAGAGAATGTAGAGGACAATTGTATTTATGCAAAGTTTAAACATGGGAAATTTATTTTCCTAATCCTGCATGTGGGTAGCACCTTACTCGCTAGTAGTGGTGTTAATCTACTGTTGCTGAAGAAACAGTTCATGTCCTCAAGTTTTAATGAGAATGATCTTGGTAAAGCGTCATTCGTTCCAGAAATTAGAACTTACCAAGACAAAAGGAAAAGGGGTATTATAACTATCTCAAGTGTATACTTAGAGAAGATTCTAAAGAAATAAAGTATATATGTGAGTAAACCTGCGCCTGTTCTTATAGTAAAGGGTAATAGTTTTGGGAACTTTCAGTGTTCCAAGAACCAATGTGAGATCGAAAAGGACGTTCTATATGCTTCAGCTGTTGGAAGCTTAATGAGTGCTTATAAGTAAGAACTTACCCTGACATAGTTCATGTATCCGGGATGTTTTGGTAGAAGTCCAGTCCAGATATAGATCACTAGAATGGAGTTGAGAATGTTTTGCAAGTGTGCAACGATTTATAGGCCTCATGGTGAGTAAGAAAGAATAAGTACTCTCAAATAGTTGTGGGTACAAATGTTAAATTTTGGCGAGATGTTTAGTGAAATCAACATAGTAGCTAACACTCGCAGTTGGAGTTTTATTGTGGAAAAGCTCCAAAGAAATAGTTGTGGTGTCATCAAAGATGCATACCCATAGTATAGCTTGTTATGAGGCTTAAGGACAGGCGAAATGGTTAAAAGAACTTACACCCGGAATTGATAATAGTATTCAACAGCAATAACCATTTAAGTAGTTCGCTCCTATAACAACGGGTCAAGTGTGCTGCCAAACACATTGACGTTAAAGTTGTACGTTGTGAAGGAGAAAGTCTGGAATCATACTAAAAGTATTGAACATATAAGTAACAAGCAAGTGCTTGCGGATCCGCGTACAAAAGGCTTACCACCTAGTGTGTTTAGAGAACACACAGTCGACATGGGTTTATGGTATAGCCTATGATTTCTGGACAATAAAGGGCCCAAAAGTTAAAGAATCTGTTTCAGAACAGAGATGTGTATTGTAGCTGTTAAGTCTATCGGCGATTGACCGTGACGATGAAGCATGCTCTATGCACTAATCTGTGATGAAACAAATAAAAGTGAAAGGGATTAAAGTCAAAGTTTAAAGTTAAAGTATGAGTTGAGATCAAGGGGGAGAATGTTAGAATTGATCTCATCTGTCTTGACCCAACGATCGAGACGGACCCCTTGACCGTGGCCTGATCGGGACGTTCAGCCATCTAGTGGCTGGTGGCCCCCCGTCGCACAGTGCCTATAAAGAGGAGGTGGGACAAACGGCTCTTGATATGAGGTTCACTGCCGCCGTCACAACTCCACCGTCTAACCCTAGTCCGATCAAGAGAGAGGCACTGCCAGCGGCGGAAAGCGCCACCGTCGGTCTCCACTGTGATGCCCCTCTTCTCCGACCGTCGCTGCCTAGCTCAGAGCTTCACCTACACCGGCACCATGGCGATTACTTCCTTCTCTACCAAGCCCGAAGGTATGGGTCACCTTCTCTCTGTCTCTCTCTGAATCTCGAAGTCACTGATTATCCCAAATACAAGTAAACACCCACTGGATCCACATCTAGATGGTCCAAAGTATTTAACAGCCCCTGGTGCGCGTGGCCGGTGACGAGGGACGTCCAGGAGACCACGTCCCGGCGGGGCATCTCGTCGAACAGCTGCCACGCGTACCGCGGAAGCCCGCTTCGCAGCGCCAGGTGCGCTAGGGAGGTGGCGAGGATCGTGGAGGCGGAGAGGCCGAGCTTCACGAGCACGGTGTGGAGTGGCCCGACATGGGCCACGGAGCGGCGGCGGCCGCGGCCTTCAAGGCCGAGGCGAGGGACGTGGCATCCCACGCCGTCGAGGTCGGGCTCTGCCATGAGGCGGCGCATGGAGGTGGCATGCCCATGGCCGCGTCCGTCTAGAAGATCCTCTTGCTCGGACAAGGAGGACAACAAGGAGAGGCTTTTGCCTGTGCCATTACAAAAGTCGGTAATTAATCACGAGCTATTAAAAAAGTTGAGTTCTTATGGGTGCCATTGTTCTGAACTCTTTTGTCTTCTGCGTCACTTCCGTCAGATTTGGCTCTAACGGTGTTAAACTGCGGGTGTGAAAAGTCAAAAATACCCTCAAATCTAAATATGCAATTAATTTTTTTAGCATCTTAACCATCTCAAATTAAAAAACTCAAAACTAGAAAGTTGTAGATCTCGTCGAGATCTACAGTATTTATATAAAAATTATCTTCAATTGATTCTGTACAAAAAATATGATTTTTCTAAGACATATTAATCATATCAAATCATATCTTTTTTGTATGGAATTAAATAAAGATAATTTTATACAAAAATTATAGACATTGTTGAGGTCTACAACTTCCTAGTTTTGAAAATTTTCATATGAGCTCATTAAGATGCTCAAAAAAATTAATTACATATTTAGACCTAGGGTATTTTTTATTTTTCACACCCATAGTTTGACACCGTTAGAGCCAAATCTGACGGAAGTGGCGTGAAAGGACAAAAAAGTTCATAGCAATGGCACCTGTGAGAACTCAACTTTTTTAATGGTTTATGTATAATTACCAACTTTTATAACGGCGCACAAGTAAAAGTCTCCAGAAAGGAAGGGCAGCGCAATTGAGTTCGCTGGCGGCGGCGCTGTGAGAAATCGTGAATGCGGTGGCATAAAGATGGCAGCTTTTTACCGCTCTCCGAGAGTCTCTGTCACATAAGAATGTACTCCCCCGTTATAAATAAGTCATTGTAAGATTTCTAGAGAGTCAAAATATTTCAAATTTGACCAAAATTATAGGGTGAATTATAAAGATTTATGACATCAAATTGATATATTATGAAAATATAATTAACGAAGAATCTAATAATACTTAGTTAGCATCATAAATATTATTATGTTATCATATAAATTTGATCAAACTTGAGATGCTTTGATTCTCCAAGATTCTTAAAATGACTTATAATTTAGGAAGGAGGGAGTAACTTTTGTTTTCGTATCCGTTAAAGTTATCCAAACGGTACCATTAAGACATCGAAAGGCTGGATGTCTCACTCTACTCACTGCCGCATACGTTGTTCGTCTAAAAAATAAATCAACTCCCGCATGCCTCGCTGTACTCTGCTGCCACCCTTACCCCTTTCGCGCTCCTCATCCCCTACGGTAGCGTACCAATGCCCTGCGTCCTCCCCCACCGGGAGCCCGCAATGCACGCAAATCCGGTGGCCCTCTGCCCACTCCAACGAGATTCACTCACCTCCGACAAAATCCATAGAGGTGCACGGCGATGTTGCAGGGAAGTGGGGGGCTCTCCTCCACCCCGGCGTGGCGCCCTCTCCACCCCTAGCGGTGCCCTCTCTCACCCCGACGACTGAACTCCCCCCACCCGGCGGCCATGGCGCTCCTCGCCCCCATCCCCCACCGTCGCCGTCGAGCCAAGCCAGGTACTAGTGGCGTTGGTGAAGGTGGTGCTCATGCGCCGCTGCTCACCGCTGGTCCCGACCGAGACGGCTGGAATCGACTGGCCCAGGCTTCTTTTCTCCTATGTTGCAAATGTATGTTTCATGTGTTTTTGTCGTTTTAAAGGTATGTTGCAGTTATTTCTTATGGATGTTGCAAAATTAGACCGGTGGATGTCACATATGTAGCAAGTGTTTCAGAAGCATGTTGCAAGCGTTTGTTCAAAATGTTTCATCTGTTTCCAGACATATGTTGCAATCGTTGTTATCTGGATGTTGCATATGTTTTTACACATGTTGCAACAGTATGTTTCAGCTTGTTTCAATTTTATGTTGCAGTTAGTGTTTTTTGATGTTGCAATTGTTTTATCTGGATGTCTCATATGTCCTAAATATTTTATCTGTTTCAAACGTATGTTGCATTCGAGTATTTCATGTTGCAAGTGCAGACCGTCGGCATTGGTGTCCATGAGGGCGGCAGGGCCAAGCCGCAGCCACCGATGCGTGGAGGAGGCGCAGGCCGCCACCGCGTGGTGTGGGAGTAGGCACAGGCCGCGCGGTGCTGTTGTAGAAGAGACGGGGCGAGTCTTCCGGCGGCCTGGAAGAGGCAGGCGCCGCAACGGTGTGGAAAAGGTGGGGGCGAGTCATCCGAGCAACGTGGGCTGCAGATCTGAAGCGGACGGTTCAGATACGAGCGCAGAAAACGGAGCTAACGCGAGCAACACGCAAATCCGAGCGGATAGGGCGGAGCAGCCACGGGCGTCTGGACGCTAGTGCTGCCGTTATCCAAATTTTATCAAATTTACAGTAAATAGTATTCACATTTATGTCTCCAAACCAGTATATTAAGAAAAGTATATTTCATAATAAGTCTAATTATATTTATTTTGTATCATTAATATTTGTATTATTTGATATAAATTTGGTTAAATTTAAAAGTATCCGGTTTATCAAAACGCCAGAATTGCATTCGGATGGAGGAAGTAAAATACTGTGCAATGGTGAACCTTCCGCGGTGGCCCACGTCACAGTGACAGGGGTCTACGAACTCTTGGTCCACCCTCATGTACTCTACTGTTCTTGGCGGTGTTATGTAATACGTAGATCAGTATATCTGTATATATGTAGCCACTCCCTTCTCTTCCGTCAACATCGAGAAGACAGGGGCAGCTTCACCTCGGAAGCTCAGACTCGCAGGATGCAACAAGAACATACCCAAGCTTCAGTAACCCTCTCTCTCTCTCTCTCTCTCTCTGCGTATAATCCTGCCAAATATCTGTGCTGTGACACTGACAGTGTTTATGTGACTGCGTTTTGGCAGATGGTTGAGAAGGGGTGTGAGAGATGCAGGGAATGGAAGGAGCACTACTACTGGGAGCACATGGATATGAGCAAGATCCGCTTCTTCAAGCTCATGACTGGGGATTTCTCCCGGGGCATTGTAAGTTTCTAACTGTCGAAAGCCCACTGCTCTTTGTTCTTTGTTCCGGCGAATATCCCACTGCCATGTGAAGTCAATACTAGTGTTCGTTTTCTATAAATGTTGGTCTAGAAAACATGCAGTTAAACTTTTACAAAAGTTTTGGTTGTGCTGAGCACTATTGAGCTATCCTTGTAAAAGTGTAAAGGAGATATGTTACAGCAAGGAGCTTAAGCAGGAAAAGGAGTAAAGGTCAAAGGACACAAGCTTTAAATCTCATGTCTGGATCTAAATATTAATCTTACATTCGCAAAAAAAAAAAAAAAAAAAAAAAAAAAAAAAAAAATCTTACCTAGGAGCACCTATTATGTGGCAGATATGCTGTAAGTAACATAAATGTGATCTTAATCTTATGTCCACTTGCCAAGTTTAAAGTTTCTTTATCAAAAAAAAAATACTGGCAGGAACTCTACCGTGCATAATAACTGAAAGCAAATTCTCTTCTACTACTCTGCATTATTATAGTACAAGAAAATTTGCTAAAGTTATTTTGAAGATATTTTGTTCTTCTTTAGGGATCAAGATTACTATTTTTAGCTGATTATGAAGCGATATTTGCCCTGTTACTACATTATCATCATCTGAAAATTAACTTTATAAGCAAAGAGTTGTCACTCATCTGCTTTCATCTTAGAGGATACCGGACAAGTTTGCAAAGAATTTCAAGGGACAGATCACAGAAGAGGTTCAGCTGAAATCACCTAGTAGTGCTGAAACATGGCACATCGGTGTAGAGAAGCATGGTGATGAGCTGTTCTTCATGTCAGGATGGAAGGATTTTGCCAAGGCTCATGAGCTGCAGGAGAATGATCTCGTGCTCTTCACTTGCTGTGGAAACTCTTCCTTTGAGGTCCTAGTCTTCGAAGCGAGTGGCTGTGAGAAAGTGTCTTCCCTGTTTGGCAATGGAATTGGTCCTGATATGTGCAAACAATTCAATGATATAGTGGGTCAACATGGTGAGCATCACTCTGTGACTGTGAGCGATTCTGAGGATACCATTGCGCCGTCGCAGCTGGTTGGATCCCCTCACAACGCTTCTCCTTTGAAGGAACCCAGTGGGAAGGCTAGACCAAGTGAGTAAAAGTACTATAAGTTTGCAGTGCAACACTAGGCATTGTTTGTTCTGAATAAATTAGTACATGGCATGTCTTAATATGTTTATCTTTCAAGGTAGTATATAAATAATATACCTGAAACTATGCATCATCAATACTGTTGGAGTTGATCATTTTCAGTATATATAAAACAATATACATAATGTAGATCTTTCTTGTCAGGTGAATATGAATCACCAAACGCCAACAACTTTATTGTCAAGCATGTGGCAACTGGCGAAGAGGATAGTGATGATGGATATGCTAACTCTAACTACTACTCGAAGTTTGCCAATCGACTAAGAGATGAGGAAAAGGAGGAAATAATAGATTTGGCTTCCATCCGACCAAACAATCCTGTATTTGTGACAGTTCTGATGAAAAACCATGTTCAGCGCAGAAACAACCATCTGGTGAGTTTATTCATATAGCTAAAGAAAATGAAAATGATTGAATGGGCAGACCCAGTGCCGGAGGCTCCCACACGAGTGGGGTCTGGGGAAGGGAAAAACCGAGGCAAGCCTTCCCCCCGCAAAATCTGCGAAGAGGCTAAAATGATTGAATATTTAATTTATTTATTTACTTTTGAAACGAATTGAATATTTAATTTAGGCATGTGAGATCTTTGTAAGTTAGGTTTTGATTTGTTAATAGGTACTACAAAAAAGCTTTCCTCTTTCAAATGTTGCTATTATGGTGGAAATTTGCTGGCAGCCACTCAAATGGTGCTCTGTTTTTATATCTGAAGGTACCAAATGGTAGCTATTTCTGTAGTCTGTGTCCTGCCAATCTGACAATGTTCAATACTGAAAACACTCAGCTGCCTAAAAGCAGCTAACTGTATATACCAAGGAATGAATATAACCAACCCTGACATTCTGCTTTTAAGGAAAATTAAATCTCACAGTAGTGTTTATATTACCTCATATATTGATGGTGGTACCTTCATCTCCACACTAGAATTCTGTGAATATCAGTTTCAAAAAAAAAAATTATGTGAATATCTTCATATTATACTCTTTCCGATACAATGTTAAACTAGCTGATTTTATTGCACAGGTCATCCCAAGTAAATTTGCTGCTGATCATCTTGGGGAAAGAGCACATGATATCATACTTCGTAGGCCAAATAGGAAAGAGAAATGGCTTGTCAGCTACTATTACTCATGCCGCACCCGGTGTTTCCACAACTTACCGTTGTTTAAGTTTATGAGCGAAAACAAGCTTCGTGAGGGTGACATCTGCGTCTTTGAGCTGATGAAAGGCAAAAGGAGAGTGACGATGACTGTCCATGCCATCAGAAAGGCCAATGACCGGTTTATTCTGGTAGGCTAATCTGATGTAGTGCACTTGTACTGTTGTAGTTTCTGCAGTATGTACTATGCAGGGGTAGCATTGTGAACTGAAACTGGAAGTGCCTAGTGATGCTTGCAAGGAATGCAAGTGTAATTTTGTATCATGTCGTGATCAGCAGTATGGCAACTAGAACAAGGTGTGGCCTATGTAATGTAAATGTTTCTAAGCGAATGTTACCCTTGGCTTATGCTTTTGTGCCTGGTTCAGATCTCCCATCTGGTGCAGTGCTTTTTAGATCTTCACGTGTTGTTTCAGGGACGTCTCAAAAAAAAATGTTGTTTCGGGGAGGGGACAGTTTCAGGTTAAGGCCTGGTTTAGATTGGGGTTAGGAATCAGTATTTGGCAGATAATTATTGTCCAATCATGGCCTAGGCCTAAGGTTTAAAAGATTCATCTCATAATTTACAATTAAATTATGTAATTAGTTATTTTTATTATCTACATTTAATACTCTATGCATGCATGTGTTCAAAGATTTGATGTGATGGAGAGAGAGCGAAAAAACTTGCAATCTAATAAGGCCTAAGTGGAAGTTTGTATAGTAGCACTCGCAGAGTTGCAGTGATATGCCTCCCATGCATTGTTGTGGCCTCTGTTTCCTTCATATGATGAATTGTGATTGTGATGTGTACAGCTGTTCAAGTTCTAAAACAGTGACATGGTATGTGCTGGCGCTGTGAAGTTGCTGCTAAGTTGGAGCCTGATCGCTTCAGTAATGTTGTGTGATAAATAAGCCAAATATAAGGGGGTGTTTAGTTACCACCAAATTCTAAACTTTGGCACTATGCAAAAAGAAGATTTTCTGTCACATCAAACTTACGATATATGCATGGAGTACTAAATGTTGACGAAATCAAAAAGTAATTGCACAGTTTGGTTGTACTTTACGAGACGAACGTTTTGAGCCTAATTAGTCAACAATTGAACAATTAGTACCAAATACAAACGGAATGCTACAGTGCATTACAGTAACGCTACAGTACATTTGCCACCGCCGATTTCGGCAACTAAACGAGGCCTAAGACTCCGATCATGCAATTATCTGAAATCATACTGATATTGCTTGATTCTTGTTTGAGAATCAGATTGTGACGACCTAGTTCTTGGAATAATTGTGTGCTGCATGCTAGCAGCTAAAACAGATGTCTTTCCCCTATATGAATTAGGGATGTTTGGATTCGGTGACTAAAATTTAGGAGGTGTCATGTGAGGGTGTCACATGGGGTGTTTGGATATTAATAAAAAAATAAATTACAGAATCCGTTAGTACTCCAGTAGACAAATTTATTAAGCTTAATTAATCCGTCATTAGCAAATGGTTACAGTAGCGCTACGTTGTCAAATCGTGAACTAATTAGGCTTAAAAGATTCATCTCGCAAATTAGTCGCAAGTTGTGCAATTAGTTTCGTAATTAATCTATATTTAATACTCCATACATGTGTCAAACATTCGATGGAACAACGACTAAAGTTTAGGAAGATGAAACAAACACCTTTTAGCAAAGGAAACAAGTTTTCGTTCACTGCTCGCCTCACTCCCAAGTGCCAACTTTACCTTTCCCCAAGATGAGGCAAACAACATTCTAGTGTTCACCGCCCAAACAATAAAAAGAAAGGATCCTAGTGCATCAGCTACCCTGACCCCAGTTGGCAGTGACCAAGGTCCATGAACAACTGTTCTACCAGCCTCTAGCCAGGCATATGTCCAATCTCACAATAAAAGCTAGTAACAACTCCACCGCTCAAAAACTAGCAACAGCTCCTCTCACCTCCATAAAAACACTCCCTCGTTAACATCAAGGTGAACGGAGCCACTATGCAGCTTACCAGAGATTGCAGGATGAACAAGGTAAGAACTCTCGCCATACTTCCTTCTATGATTTCCAACAGATATTTAGCCAGACAAACTTTGGAAGATGTATGCTGTGACAATGTTGTGTGGTTGCATGGCAGATGGCCCCCCATCTGAGGTGTAAGAGCTGCAGGAAATGGCAAGATCACTGCTACCAGGAGCACATGGCGAGGGAGAGGGTGAGTTTCTTCAAGCTCATGACCGGAGATTTTGCGCAGGGCATTGTAAGTATCCACTATCCTGCCAAATTCTTCATGGTTTCGTCATTTAGCTATGAAAGATTGTGGTTGTGTTGAGAGCTTGTGTGCTGGTTTGTTACTGGATAAGTGTTACAGAGAGGGAAAGTAGGCAATAGAAAGGGCATACTACCTCTGTCCCAGAAAACGACTTGATGTTCTTGGATTGCCCAAGTCAAACTATCCTAAGTTTTGACTATTTGAGAAATATCAACACTTATGAGATGAAATAGGTATACTACGAAAATATATTCTATGACAAATCTAATGGTATGAATTTGGTATTATAAATACTAATACTTTTATAGTAAATTTGGTTAAACATATGAGTTATTACTCCCAAGGATATATGAGCCTTCTTATATAAGAAAAAAGGGGGAAACATTTGTTTATATGACAGTTATCAATAGTTTGCATTTGTCACTGATTTTTTTTTTACTGAGATCATTTAAGCTACTGATTGCACATGCAGTTCTTTACATCAGACACATAATCAAATCATCTGCACCATTATCCTCTAAAGGTAACAGTATGACATGTCTCCTGTTTTTATCTTATTAGAGCATACCGGAGAAGTTTGTGAGCAATTTAAATGGGCAGATCACCAAAGTGTTCAACCTGAAAGCACCCAGTGGCGAAACATGGCTTGTCGACGTCACAAAGAATGCGGATGAGCTGCTCTTAACGTCAGGATGGAATGATTTTGCCAGAGCACATGAGCTACAAGAGAATGACCTTGTGATCTTCACATACAGTGGCAACTACTCCTTTGATGTCCTGATCTTGGACTCAAGTGGCTGCGAGAAGGTGTCTTGTTTCTTCACCACTAAGAAGGGTCCTTGCATGCACAAGCATTTCGATGGCAGAGTGTATCAACAAGCTGAACACCACATGCTTAGTGATTCTGATGACTTAGGAATGCCGTTGCGCCTCGTTGCGTCCCCACACAGGACCTCTACTTCAAAGAAGGGTGGCAAGACTAAACCAAGTAAGTAGAGTACAAATTTGCTTCAGTTGTTAAATTCGTATACAGATCTCATGTACAAATTACAATCAGTAATGTGTTTTGCTCGCCCATGCACAAATGCAAGTTTATCAAGTTTATATAAATAACGCACACTTTTGACAGGGAAAGAGCCTGAATCTCCGATCAATAGCAATTACCATATCAAGCAAGAGGTGATGAGCGATGAAGAGCAGAGCGCCGAAGACAGGCTTGCCGATTCCACCTACTACTATTACTCAAAGTCTGCCAAGATCCTAACTGGTGGTGAACGGGATCAAATATTCAGTTTGGCTTCAATTCAACCAGGCAATCCAGCATTTGTGGCTGTCCTGCTGAAGTCCCATGTTGGGTACAAGAACAACATGCTGGTCAGTTCACATATTTCTGTGTACCTTCTTCTCTGCTGATCTGAAGCTCCATACAAATTTCCGTGTAGTGTGGCCATTTGATTTGATAGGAAATAGAATAGTTTCCTTGGTCACTCATCTTATGACTGCCTACCCAAATATTACAAATAAGTGATAAACTAATTTTGTCGTAAACCCTAATTTTTTACTTCCATTTACCAATCTGTAGTAGTAATTAGTAGCATTAATTGTGTGTGACAGTATGAGTAGTGTTTCCAATATTTGTTTCAGTGTTAACTATGCACTGTGCAGCAAGGGCTGACCTAGTTGTGCTTGGTGATTGCAATGCAGACCATCAACCATGGATTTGCAGCAGAGCACCTTGAGGGGAGATCCCATGAGATCCTGCTCCTCAGGCCAAACAGGAAAGAGAAGTGGTACGTCAAGTACTACCACGCCAGCCACACCAGAGGCTTCAACTGCTGCCGCTGGGTCAAGTTCGTCCGCGACAACAGGTTGCACAAGGACCACATCTGCGTCTTTGAGCTGATGAAACGCGCCAAGAGAACGACGATGGTTGTCCATGTCCTCAGGAAGGTTGATGGGAGGCTTATGCTGGTGGCCTAAGTTCATGTGTCTAGTTTGCTATGTATCATGTGATGCACAAGTGTTGTGCAGTTGCTATGTACCATGATGCAAGTGCTGTGCTATATGTATCATGTATGTACACGTATGTGCCACTCACTGGAAAACCTGAACTCCAAGTAAGCACTGCTACCCTGCTATGAAGCTATATATATGGCTATGGCTACTAGAAATGTGAGATGTGTGGATGTTTCTAAGCAAATGGTGCCATAATTCGTCACTCATGCACAAAAATACTAAAAAAAAAAGACTCGACCAGGGGGTTAAGACTACCCCGCAGCATTACAAATAAGGACATTTTCACCCGGCCGAGAAAACCCCCACCTCGACCCTTACACGGTGGCTTTCCATCGCCCAAGTGAGAATTGCCTGAAACTCGCTCCCACGGGGAGTCGAACCCCGGACCTGAGGAGTGCCCACGGGACAGTAATCAATATATGACGATATGAGACAGTAATCAATATATGACGATATGAGACGGTAGGTGCATCTCTAACATTCAGGAGAAGTACAACACAGATTAAGGATTTGTGTCGTCACCAATGATTTCAAAAATGACAATGAAAATTAAGTTAACACCTCATGCAAAAGTGACCAAGGTAACACTATCATTTAACTCAGGTCAACTGAAATTTGACACCAAAGAATCTTTGCAGATGGTAGTATAATATCACTTACCAAAAAGGGGAAGATAAATCCATGTGCACAAACCATGCCATGTATTATTTCAGTCTATTCTAAGATCCTAACGAGGAAACTGGCTATTGCTGGGTAAATTCTTCTAACTTTGCAGTGGAAGAAATGCCATAATAGCTTTTCCCAAAAGACACATCTTTTATCCTTTCGAAAGGATGGGATCTACACAACAACTTCAAGTACCTGCAAAATAGCAACAGCACATGGTAAGCAAAGGCTTGGGAAATTTAAAGCTCACTGCAATATGAGACATCAAGAACAACAATCGGACAAATCTGGGAAAAAAACTTCCTGCCACAAATATTAAAAAAAAAAGAAACATCAAGGGGAGCCTTGATACAGCAAAGATAAGAAATGAAGATAACATGCTTGGTGGCCCCACATTTGACCAATCACAAAAAAGTACCGCACTGTCAAAATCAAACACTAACCCCAAATACACAGCAAATTAGAAAATGAACTTGTTATCCCCACATTTGACCAATCATGAAAAAGTACTACAATGACAAAATCAATACTAACCCCAAATAGACGGCAAGTTAGAAAATGAATCCAAGATAAGTTGAAACTATGAGAACTGAAACTCTGTAAGTAGTAAGTGTTATGTGACAGTCATAGAAAACATTTGGATTGGTAGTGCCAACTGCCAAGTGATCAAAAGTGTAAACAATGAACCACAGAAATTCTGAATACACACACTCATTATTCTTACTGATTGGGAAGTATGGAAACATAGGAACAATTGCATTTTTTTTTATGGAGCTGTCGCTAGTGTAGTTTGGTGGGGTGAGATCAGTGGAGTAGGAAGGGGCCCTGTGGCAAGCTGCAGGCTCTGGAAGCTGCTGCCTGGATACAAAAACTTAGGCCCTGACTTGGTAGTGGCTATTTGATGCATGGTGCAGTGCATCTGTTTTTTTTCTACCATGTAATGTTTGAACTGATTCCTATGGGCTGGTGCTTTGTATTCCTTTTCTTGTACTATAATGAAATGAATCTTGTACTATAATGATATGAAGAAAATAAAGGGGGTAGGAAAGACCATTCTCTAGCTGGAAAATTGATTTTTTCAAACAAAAAGCAATTGATATCAAATCAAACAAATAATAAGAATCATAGATCACGTCAATTATATGGGGTTGATACTGCAGGAATATTTTCTAACATTAAAACCTGCTAAATGTTTCACAATGAATTACTAATAGGTCCAGTTCTGCTGAATTTCGGTTTAGGATGAATGAGAAAAAAATCAGTATTACCAAAGGAGTACATGCTTCAAACCAGCAGCTTTGGCAGGCTCTACAATGGCCTCTCTTGCATCACCCATCTTTTCCGTCCCAACCGTACCCACAATCAACTAAAGTTTCAATATTGTGCAAAAATGTTTCTCTAGGTAGTGTATTTGAACAGTTGTACAATGTAGCCAATTTAGTTAAAGAAAATATAGCATTAAAAAAACTGACTATAGGTAAATGTACATCATTATACGATTTCCATGCTTCAGAAATGATGGTAAGAAGTAAGAACACAGCACACAAAGGCTGGTGATGAATCAAAACACCAGCAATGCATTCAAGCATTAGTGTGCTACGGCTGACAGCGAAGGCCAGACACTGCATATTTACAAGTTTACTTTCTTGTTCCGAAACAATTCCAAACTCACAACTAATCAAATATACTTGTGTAATTCAATATTCAAGGGGAAATGGGGAAAGATGTGAAAAGGGGACCTACATCATTCTAGGACGGAAGGTCCCCATCAAGTTGTGCAGCCTCCAGCATCAACCATCTTTTCCACTCCCTATAAAATCCCAATTTTAAGCTCCACTCAACTTTGTTAAGAGTAGAAAATAAAGCGTACATCACATATAGCCCCTAGAGCTCCACTCAACTTTGTTAAGGGTAGAAAATAAAGCGTGCATCACATATAGCCCCTAGCGCACCCTGCATTGCTTGAAATTGCACCTTTTTACAGCAGTAGGTAAGAGTTTGTACTAGGTACTGGTTTCATGATATACTAATACCTATTAATGAACAATAGAACTAGGCTCACTCGAAACTACAACCGCATTCCATTTATAAGCCTCACTTGTTTGAACCATGAAACGAGTGAATGGCAAAATGCATCTACGACATACATCCATTCAGTGTCCCAAGTGAACTTCGCAGGCGACACACATTCGCAACAACGATCACAAATCAGAATTATATTATATATAAAAAACATTGGATGGCATTGGCATCAGATGCAGCAGCACGACTTTAGATGGCACAAGAGCGGGGAAGTAACGTACCCTGGGAGAGCTCGCAGCACGCCCGCGCGCTGGCACCGGGGTGCGCCGTGAGACGCGCCATCACCGCGGCCACCGTCACCGGGGACCCCATCATCGCCGCCAGAGGCCTGCAAAAACCACACCCCGATCCCATCGACCGTGTCAGATCACCACCGTCCCTCATGGCTCCACGGGGAAGTAGGCACGTTGGATTGGATCGCTTACCGCGCGGAGGGGAGCGGGGAGGAGGAGGTGGCGAAGGCGGACGGGACGCGGCGGCGCGGGGCCGCGAACGGTCGCGGGGCGTGGAGGCGTGCGGCCGCGGGCACCGCGGCCGGGCGGCGGACGGCGGCGAGGACGGCCCGGGTGGCGGGGCCGCGCCACGCCATGGCTGGCTAGGGTTTCGTCGACGGAGGGGAAATGGGAGGAGGAGATGGCGGCGGCGGCAGGCGGGGTATAGGGTTTTTATTTAGCAGATCTGCCTCGTTGAAGAGGAAGTGGGGAGAGGAGTCGTGGGCCGGATTCTGTGCCACTTGGGCCCGTCAGTGATTAGAAATGGGCTTTTGCTAAAGAGACGAGCGGCGGTTTCGCCTTTCGCAACAAACTCTCTCTGAAGCTCAACGATATCGGTTCCTGCACTTCAGGATTTAGGAAACACAATAATCAAGATAGACACGAATCCTATCTTGATTGATTATCATCACAATCACAAATATAAATTTATATAAATTCACGTATAGGTACGTCATCAAACCATTTTTAACTTCAGCCATCGTTGTCCAAAAAAAATTACTCCCTCGGTTCCAAATTATAAGTCATTTTGATTTTTTACATATGATTTATTATGTATCTAGACATATATTATATTTATATCTAGATACATAGTAAAACAGATATACCAAAAAGTTTAAATAATATATAATTTGGAACGAAGGGAGTATATAGATTGGCATTACCGTAGTTACGAAAAGTACTTTTGTAACATAGTATAGCTCTTTTCATGAAGAATAAAATGCATATTTCTTATAAATATTTTTTTTAAAATGAACTCGCACAAGGACACTCATATTTATGGTCATAAAAAGTACATGCTATAGTATAGTAGTTATTACTTCGATAATCCTAATTTATCTCATTGTTTGCGCCAAATGGGAGAATAATAGGCTTGGATTACCCCAGTCCCCATGCCATGATCCATAACTTGTTTTGCGAGACCTAGTTTAGTCATAGACGCTCATATACACGAGCGCACACTTAAATCTATTAACGTACGCACGTACACCCTACTTCCATGAGCACCTTCGTAGGACTAAACTAGATCGGCAAATTTCGAGATTAACAAAGTCACTATAGGCATCTCGTTGTCGACGTGCACATCGTTTGCCACTAAAAGAAGAATAGCACCGCCAAAGGCACACGGCCTAGCATATTGTCCTTCCTGCTGGGAAATAAAACTCCTCACAATTTTAGTATGGTTCGAAAATCCAAATGGGAGGATTTTTTTCTGATTCGTCCTTGAATTTTATATAGGTCTTACAGGTTATAGTTGGAGTAGTTCAATGAATATACTTATGTATCAAGTAAAATGCTTTGACTAGTAACGCACCAGCTAAACATCCCGATATACATGTCTCATTACTACAAGCAAAATAATCCGAAGTAGTGCTGTAGAGAGAGAGAGAGAGAGAGAGAGAGAGAGAGAGGCTCCAATTGTGCAGCTGTGATGCAATCCACGTCCATCGATCCACAACATCAAAAGTGACAATTCATCACCACCAACAAGGCTCCAAGAGTATGCTTCCAATCAAGATGGAGCATCCTGTCTGGTGACATTGCATGCTCCCAAGGATTTATACATTTAGCTTCGCTTTTGTTCATTCATTCACTACTAGTCTTGTTCCATTTGCAACCCTATGGTGAAGCCCTCCATTATATTCTCTATCTCTGTGAGTCAATTTCAACTTGTTGCAGCATGTCCCACCTGGGGGTTGGCACATCCCTTTCTTCTTTTATTCCTTGTATATATGCAAGAGACCAAAAGCCCCAGCTAGCTAGCTAAGATAGAGTGCCCTTTTCAATCAAACCAAGCATTATTTATTCACCAAATGCATAGTGCATCTCAAAACCTATCCCCTAGCTAGCTACTGCGTCCATGCTCAACTCCTAATTGTTAGATTTGTTTGTTTCTTCCTCCCAAATGTTACAGAAGCAACAAGAAACTAGAGCACTGCATTGCGCTTAGCTTGTTTAATAGTACTTGTTCTTCCTCCCTCCCATCCTAAATATAAATTAATCGTTTTCCCCTAAACGCACTTAATTAATAAGTCCATTTACAGCTTCAATGCACCCTTTTCTTTAGTTTTCCATGTCATTCCACCCCCATATAAATTTACCTTAATCAATGCAATGTACTTTTTTTGAATTTGTAGTATAAATGCATACCCTCACGTAAATGTACACACACATTCTACCTCTATGATGAGCACTTTTGAAAGACTGAGATGGCAAATTTCGAAATTAACGAAGTCACCACTAGCACCTCATTTATTGATAGGCACATCGCCTAGCACTAAAAGAATAGCGGATCTAGGAAAATACGAGCACCCCGCATTAAGTCGAAGACTTAAACCCAGGTGCTTCAGGTTTCACCATAAGAAATCTAACCAGGTAAGCTAAGCTCACCTCACACTCAATGCAATATACTCCCTCTGTCCCAAAATAATTGATGTTTTTACCCCTTTATTACGTCTTGTTTTTACTCTAATATTGGGAGTTACTCTGCATATTGCTTGACATAAAACCAACAATGGATTTGTTTCTGTCTTTTGTTGAATCTTTTTCATGGCTCAGTAGAAAATTTGATAAGCCAATGATTTTTTCCATGTTTCATAATACCATTTCTAGATGGCCGAATTTGGCCACATCCTTTGATAGTTTAGTGGTTAAAGAATGGTTTTAAAGTTACATATGGCCAAAAACGATCTCCAACAATAGTTGGAATGGTAAAAAAGTAAACATCTCTCCAACTAATATCATGGCCCATCTTTTAAAATTCTACCAACTACTACGCCTTACCATATTTAGAAATTACAAATGATGCATAGCAATGACATTTATTTAATTTATGTTTAGAAAAGATAACTACAAATAAACAACTTGCAAGTGGGAACATTTTATTTTCCCAAGAGAACGTGTCAATGGCCTATTCGGGAGACCATTCCACATGTCCTAGAGCTCAATTAGCTTAGATGCCTAGCAATTGGTGTTGGCATATGCAAGGTTCTATATAATAAAAAAAATACAAGTCCCTCCATTTTCAATCATGTGGAATATTCCTCTCTACGACGACTCTACATCACCGCATGCTCCTGTCCCACACAAAATGCAATCCCAGTTAGCGAGCTAAAATATAGTCCAAATGGCATCACTGTCGTCCTTGGAGAAGAATGAGAGAAATCTAGAAATATATTATGGATGTATAATGATTCTTTTGAAAGGTAGCTATCCGTGTCTACTTCCTTCTAGACACTGATTCTTTTGAATATATATAGCTATCCGTATCTACTATATATATATATATATATATATATATATATATATATATATATATATATATATATGCCTCACATATTCACCTTAATTATAACTTATATATAATTCAATTAGATTGGGTGGCCAAATTAAATTAAAGGAAGCTAATAAGATCGACAAAAAAAAAACCTGAAGAAACAGTAAAAAAAACATTTTGCACCTCGCCATATCGTGGTCGACGTTCTCCTACGCCTGAAATGTAAAATGTGAAGTGGAGCAGGAGTGACTTTCACTCATGGTCTTAGTCGAAAGATGCCGAAACATTCAGCTGAGCTGCTGCTGAAGGGAGGTAGCTAGCCAGAGAAGAATAAGTGAGAGAGAGAAAGTTTTTTTTTTACAACAGAGAGAGAGAAAGTTGTGCCGTTTCAGAGAGATCTAGATAGACGTCTGAATGAGTAAGAAAGGAGCAAACATTTTGCCATCATGACATGCAGGAAGATTATATATTAGTACTGTATGTCCCAAAAAAGTTGAACTCCCAAGCTCGTTCGCAGGCTACACACATATATTCTATCATATCGTTTAGGAGTGTCAAGTTTATTTATCCATCAATAAGCTTGTCTTTTTTCATTCTAGATAGGAATTATTAGATCGAATCATACTGCAGATTTTTTTTATGGAACAGTAGGGGTCAAAGACCCCTACTGGAGATTTATTAAACAACAGTAAACTGTTTTACAAACAAGGCTCAAGAAATCATACTACAGCTTATTAGCACCGGGAAATATTGGTTCCATCTGCCTGTCATTTCAGCATTTTCTTCTTGGCACACATTTATAGGGCTACAACACATGCAGTTGGGAAATATGCAGTTGCCAAAAAATGCGCTTCAGTGCGCTGATACTTAGCAGTAATACTAAGTGCAAGTTATGGTGGTAAGAGTTGTGATTAAGTTGAGGTCATCACCGATGGCTGAGCGCAAGCAGTTGCATGCGATTCCAAAGACATATGCATTGTCAGGTAGTAGTTATCCATGCATGCCATGGAGGCATGGACAGACACAGACCTGCAGCTAGGCGTCTCTCCAATCTCTCTCCACGCATGATAGATAGATCGATGTTCCTTCTCGTTGTTGTTCTGCTCGTCGTCATGGCATGTTCGTTGTTGGTTGGATTGGATTGGATCTTCGTTCTCGATTCCTGCACCCCTTTTGCAGCTCAATAATTTTACCTCTCACGTCAAACCCCACTTCCCTAGCTACCTACAGTACTGCCGTAATAGATTGGCACGCCCCAATGCAAGTCCCATCTCTGATCTATCTCTGATCGAGCTAGCAGCTAGCATGCAGCTGTGAACCCTCGCATGCTGCATGCAGCTCATCAATTCCACTGTACATATGCTAGTACTGTCTGTCTATCGGAGCAGAGCGCACTGCTGCGGATACTGCTCGATCTCTCCATTGCTGCAAGTCTGGCAGCTTGATCAGCGTAAAATTGAATGCATGCACATTTAGCTGCTGTGCCACAGCTTGATTAGGGCACAAATTAATGCTGCAGCTATAGCATGCATGCTTGCAGATGTGCTAAACAGCTTGATTAGGGCACAAATTAATTCTGGTAGCATTTCATCACTTCACTTGCATTGGCTTGTTTACCTTTGATTTCTCGTTTTTGCTCGTACGTATGCCAACCTTTTGGTCGACCACAATCACCTGATTGTAACACTCATGTCTCAAGTGTGTTACTTACTTGCAGCATAATGCAGCACTTTCCAGCTTTGGTGCCTTTACAAGTTAGCTCATCAGCTTTCTGCTGGCAAGAAACCTGAACCCAATCCACATCTCGACAGCGAGCCCAGAAGTTTTAATTACTGCACAAGAAAGAGAGAATCTCGACGAGGACAATTCTAACAAGGGTTAAGTACACTTTACAACCCTGAACTTGCGCCAAAGTATGATTTTCAACCTTCAACTATGAAACTGTCTGTCCAACTATCAAAGCGGACAACTTTGGTCCTCGGCTTTTCAAAAGCGGTTTTCTATTTTTCGATCTCTCCATTAAATTATTTTTTGAGCATCTTAACGCTCAAATGAAAAAACTCAAAACTACAAAATTGTAGATCTCATTGAGGCATACAATTTACATATAAAAATTGCTTCATCCGACATCGTATCGATCGAGGGTTTTCTATTTTTAAAATTTGAGTCTCATCATATATAAAATATGGTGCTGAAATTTTATATTATTTTTTTCGAGCATCTTACTGTCCTCAAATGAAAAAAATTTGTCGCGTGATGAGACTCACATTTCAAAAAATAGAAACCCTTCAATACGATGTCGGCATGAAGATAATTTTTATATATAAATTGTAGACTCGATGAGATCTACAACTTTATAGTTTTAATTTTTTCATTTGAGGACAACCTTTAGATGCTCACAAAAAATAATATAAAATTTCAGCACTCATATTTTGTCAAGTGTGATGAGACTCAAATTTCAAAAAATAGAAAACCCTTCGATACGATGCTTTGGATGAAGATAATTTTTATATGTAAATTGTAGACCTCAATGAGATCTACAACTTTGTAGTTTTGAGTTTTTTCATTTGAGAACGTTAAGATGCTCAAAAAAATAATTTAAAATTTCCACAAATAGAAAAAAATCTTTTGAAAGCGAGGACCAAAGTTGTCCGTTTTGATAGTTGCAACCAGAAATAGTTGAAGGTTGAAAATCATACTTTGGCGTAAGTTCAGGGTTGTAAAGTGTACTTTACCCTTTTAATAAAGGTTTGTTTGGTACAGCTCTGGTCGGCTTCAACTACACGTAAAAAGACACGTACGACACTGATTGGCACTATAGCATGGACAAATTTTCCTCTCTGTAGCCTAAAATCATGCCAATGAGGAGGAGGATCAAAGCTATAGCGAAAACTATGTTCTAGGGTTTCACCACCTCCTGGAATCCCCACTAAACAAGGCCTAATACTACATACATAACTTTCTTTGAGGGAATATTTATGCCAAAAACTTAGGTCCCGTTGGGATACCCATAGATTTTAAGAATCCAGATAAAAAAAATCTCATAATCCTTGAGAATCTCTTCTAAACAGCATAGAATTTTAGAGGATTCTTACCCACAGACACGTAATTCGAGAAACCTTAGAGATTATTTTAATCTAGAATCTGGATTTTATAATCCCATCCAAACATGCCCTTAATAAGTTGATGAAGAACAACATCTACTAAAAATTAGCGATCCACTTATACTTGATAGAGGATAGAATATGTTTACGGAACTAATCTCAAGCATGTGTAACTATTCGCGCATATCATTCATAACATGGGGCCTATTTGGTAGAGTTGTTCATAGCTTCTTTGAGCGGATTCTGTGGAGCTCTACTAGACAGCTAAAATGTAACTGAATCCTGGTAGGCAAAGAATCACTTATGCATTTACACTGAGCTAAAAAGACCACACTCTCCAACGTTCCCCATTCAATCACCACCAAAATCAGCTCAAGAATTATGAAGTCGCTAGAGCTCTCTGTCAAACTGGCTCATGCATATATAGTTGCATTAATCAACTATACTAATAAGATACTAGAATCTAGTAAAGGGGGGAAACAAACTGTGCTTGCGAGGATCGGAGGCCCCTTAGCTTGGTCAATTCAATGGAAAACGGGAAATAAATACTGCACAGTGGGGTGCATGGCGCTCACAGTCAGATCCGTTAGAGCCTGTCACACTCCCAACAGCTCTCTGTCGACCCCTTTCCCATTTCATGCAACCTGCAACCTGCTGAGCCATATCCTATATTCCTACTCTCTCTCTCTCTCTCTAGGCATTATTATTATTATTATTATTATTATTATTATTATTATTATTATTCCTCACATATTTTTAGGCCATGTTTAGTTTCTCAAATTCCTAAATTTGGTACTATGCAAAAAGAAGATTCTCCATCACATCAAACTTACGGTACATGTATGGAGTATTAAATGTTGACGAAATCAAAAACTAATTGCACAGTTTGGTTGTACTTTACGAGACGAACGTTTTGAGCCTAATTAATCAACGATTGGACAATTATTACTAAATATAAATGGAATGCTATATTACCGCTACAGCGCCCTAGGTTTCCGGCGGCGCCGAATCCGGCCGGAACTAAAACGCAGCCTTACCTAATTTCTCTCTCTCTCTCTCATTTTATTCCCCTAGCTACCTGGGAGCTGGGACACTGCCAATCCCATATTCTCTCTCTAGCTATCACCATCCCTACCTTTACAGTACTCTGTACTCATAGCTAGGATAGCAACAGCTCTCTTTCTCTCTCTAGCTCTCCACTACACATGTAACCTCTCCATCCCCTCCTCTCTTTCTCTCCTCCTCATTCACACGCTCAAACGCAAACACCCATACAAGAATGATATGCCACTCATGACCTAATCACTCTACCCAGCCCACTACGCTACCACCTCTTCTGCAAGCTTTTCTTCCTTCCCTCCTCAGCTTGGAACGAACAACCAAGAAGCTCAGCTCAGCACACCGTCGTCGTTACAACAAGATCCCAAGCCACCCACAGCTACCATGAGCGCAACGACGACGACAGCTCCTGATCTCTCCCTCCACATAAGCCCTCCGTCACCACCGGCCGGCGGCGTCGAGAAGCCGCCGGAGCCGAGGCTGCAGCTGGGGCTGGAGCTCGACGACGACACCGTGGCGGCGGCCGCGGTGACGAAGAAGGTGGACGACGCGGCGGCGGCGGTGCAGGAGCACAACCTCCAGGTGCAGCGGCGCCAGCTGCACCAGCCGAGCCAGACGGCCCACGGGTTCAAGAAGAGCTCGTCTGGCACCGCCACCGCCGGCGGCGGCAGCGGCGGGAGGAGAAGCTCCAGAGCGCCGCGGATGCGGTGGACCACCGCGCTGCACGCGCACTTCGTGCACGCCGTCGAGCTCCTTGGTGGCCACGAGAGTATGTTAAATTCAGAGCACGGATTAATTAGCGCTACCATGAATTCTTTCATGGGATTGTCGTTGTTGATCTTGCCTTTGCTTTTAATTCTCTTGGAGTTCTTCTCATCGATCGGTGGTGCTTCCTTGAAGTTTTCCTGATCCAAAAAAAAAAGTTATACACTTTCCTTTTGCGAGGAAGGTTAATTAATATATTTTTATTGTAACTATATTTTACTATTGGGAATTAAAGGGTGACCATTGAATTGGAAATGAGTCTTTTTTACGGTTCTTCAAGATGTCCTCTTTTTTTACCTAAGTGACAAAATCTAAGTTACATACAGTTTTGGTACGGTACCCATCTTGGCACCTTGCGAAGGACTATAACTAAATAAAGGATAAATAAAAACACTAAAGATAATTTAACCATCAAGCATTTTATTTTATTTTTTCTAGCTAATTTAAGGATTTCAAGGGATATTTTATATAGCACATAACTCAGATCTTCTAAAAAGTTTTCTTCTTTCCTTAATTTTTTTATCTTCCACTCAATCCAAATAAAAATATAATATTATGCAATTAATCACATGGTTTTGTGCAAGCTGAGTTTATTCTGTTTGATTTTTGCCTCAATGCATGCATGTGCATATTCTTGGTTCTGAAACTTCCTTTGATTTGTTTTTTGCTGCATCTTCCAGGAGCAACACCAAAGTCAGTATTGGAACTGATGAACGTGAAGGATCTTACACTGGCACATGTCAAGAGCCACCTGCAGGCAAGTCTAGCTTCTCTCCTCTTTTACCATGCAGCATGATGTAAACATGTTAATCCAGTCACAAAACACTTTCACTGATAGTCATCTAGCTTGATCACCAATTGACTAGTACTGAAAAAGAAACGTGACATGTACGGCTTGTTTTGATACCTTCTTGTTGCTACTAGTCGATATCAAGTAGCTATTGTCCTTTTGTTTTATCCTCCATATGTTTTAAACTATATGCATCACACGGCTATTTAACTTCATTATTACACATGCTCCGAGACTAAACCATATGGCACACAAGGAGTAAACATGCCATTCTTAATATATGTTTCTTTCTTTCTTTTGCCTGCAGATGTACAGAACAGTGAAGGGCACACACAGATCATGTGGCCAAATCATAATGTTCTCACTACCGGAAACAACAGATTTGCCGAGTGCCGAAATCTTTGCCGAGTGCATTCCATCGGGCACACGGCCCATGGTCTAAGTCGTCCATCAGTTCAAGGTCTAGTCACAAACAGTGCTGAATTATTGGCGTGCACAGTAGTAGATATATACTACTACATCTGTTCTAAAAAAACAATTCTAAATCCAATTAAAGTTAAACTACCTTAAATTTTACTGAATTTATAGAAAATGGTATATATAACATGCATGACTTCGAAGATATATATTATAAAAATTATTTGTTATAACAAATCTAACGACACTTATTTAGTATGATGAAAATGTTAGTATTTTTATACATACATTTAGTCAAACTTCAGATACTGGCTTGGTATTATACTAGAATTGTATCCTTTTTTTTAGAATGGAGGGAGTAGGTTTGTACCACAGAAGCTGTTTGTGATTCATATATGTGTTTTTTGTAGTTTTGCAATGTGATGAGACATATGCATGTATCATGTGTGCTGCAGGCCATGGCCATGCCAGAGACATGGTCCTTCTCAGAACAGGTGTTGTTGGTGAAGGGGATGGCTTTTGATGTTTTCAACAGCAACAACTCAGTCAACACCATCCCTACCTTCAACAACAATACTGATAGGTTTCCACTGCTACATTTCTTCTCAGATGAATTTATTCTATTATATGTACTGATCATCAGTAAATAAGTACTTATAAATAGGTGTAAATCTGAGTATTTATATGGAAGCATGTTTTCATTGTTTTGTTCCATCTCTCTTGGTCTTTGTGTCTGCATGTCTGCATCCAGCTACTTTGCTGCATTTGGAGGGTTCATATGGACGTCTTGTGTGAGCGCATTCACGCCACTGTGATCTTTTATTTTGTACTCCTGCATATGGATGCATGCCCTCTGTGTTATGGGGATTTGGATATATGGAAACTACTAGTCAATCGTGATGCCAGGATCTAGAGGAATTTGACTGCATTATTTTAGTTGATCGATGACAGTTGGTTTGGACTGTATATGTGATCTAGGCATCTAGCTGTGTGTCATTTGGTCTAAGGTTTTATTTTCATTACTAGTGGAGCGTGATAGTTTAGTAGCTAGTTCTTGCATCCTCCCCGTCCTCCTCAAATGGACACAATTTTAGAATAGTATTCAGTCAAACCTTTTTAAGTTTGATCGAATTTAAATAAAAATATACCAATATCTAACATATTAAATATACTGGTATATAAATTAGATTTATCATAGAATACATTTTCATAGTGTATATACCCATATGAAGTCATAAATGTTGATACTATTTTTAATAAACTTACTCATAGTTATAGATTGACTTGGACTAGATCTAGAATTGCATCCTTCCTAGAGTGGAGGGAGTACTTCTAAGTCCAGGAAAGAAAATAGTAACAATCAAGCATCATGTGTTCGATCATTCCTAAAAATTAGGCAACATAATATAAAAAACAGACATTCCTCATCTTTTATTTTAGCCACTAGAAATCGGAATTTTCCAAACGGTCAAATAAAACACCTTAGAAATTTGGGAGAACATGTCTGGAAAGTTCGTGGACACCAGGGCCAATCCAGTTTCTTGGTAGTGAGCCTCATTTGGGGGACACACAAACATATATATGGAGAGGGGGAGGCTAAAATACTCCCATGTGTAATTCATATGGAGAATGTGTCCACCCTAACTAGCTTGCAATTCCCACGTGGCCGACATGACCCATGCCTCCTGAGCATGGTACAGATTGGTTGTAACACAGTTCCAACGACAGTTACAACCTAGTTGAAAACCAACTGTGACCAAACCAAAGCACGCCATGTCACCACTCAAAACAGTTAGAACCAGTCCTGGCTATATAGATCCCCAGTTCCCAATCAGTTGGAACAAGCCCCAACAAGGCCCTAAACCCGATTCCACTAGTCACAACTAGCTCCAAGAGCGCCCAAACCCCGTTTCTAACCAGTTGAAACCAGCCCTAGCTAGCAGCGCCCCAAGCTCATCAGCACCTAGACCAAGTTCCAACCAGTTGGAACCAGCCCAGCAATGCCTAGAACCAGTTCCATCCAACCCCAAGAAGCACCCAGACCTAGTTGCAACAGTTCTCGTTCGTCACAAACTCCAGTTTAATTTTTAGAGATGGTTCACGAGCTACAGTAATGCTTCCCGTGCCCGTGCTAGTTAGAGACAGTTTCTTACGTGGGACCGTCTCTGAAGCCAACTGTAAAAAAAAGAGCTGTGTACTAGTAGTGACTGTTCGAGCACTGTGGCTGCTAGAGCAGAGTCTTTGATCCATCTCTGGCATGTGTCAATTCATTAATTAAACTGAAGCAGCAGGCGAAGCCATGATAGATCGCTGTGTTTCTCTGGCTGTTGGGACTTGGGATCCCAATGCGCTAGCTGTGCAGCCTTTTCTGCTGCCATTGTATCGATCCATCGTCATGAGCTCCTTTTCAGCTTGAAATGACATTTTCCATCACATTTTGTCATCGATCACACTCATCAGCGCATTTCCTCTCTTTCTTTTCTTTTTTATTTCACTTGTGCCCCTACCACTAAACATCTGTCTGAAACTCTGAGAAAGAGCATGCATGCATGATGCATGCCTAAGGCCATGTTTAGTTTCCACCAAAATTCAAACTTTGGCACTATGCAAAAAGAAGATTTCCCGTCATATCAAATTTGCGGTAGATGCATGGAGTATTAAATGTTGACGAAATCAAAAACTAATTGCACAGTTTGGTTGTACTTTGCGAGACGAACGTTTTAAGCCTAATTAGTCAACGATTGGACAATTATTACCAAATACAACAAAATGCTACACTGTGCTACAGTAGTCTACAATGATTTCGGCGGCGCCAATTCCGGTGAACTAAACATGGCCCTAGCCACGTCCGATGTGTGACGTTTTCTCCACGCCTGCCGTCGTCTGAAACTGGAAGTACGACCTCCCTCTCCTGCAACCATTTTCGTCAACATGCTCGTCATTTCAAGCTCCCATCTACCTCTCTCGGCAATGTTTCAAAAGGCGTTAGGGCGCTAGGCGTTAGTGTGATTGCTCTTGTTAGTGTGAATGACTTATTTATGTTGGCAGTTAGAGGAAATTTGGCAAAAGAAAACTCCATTCATTCCAAATTATAAGTCATTTTGATTTTTTCTAGGTACGTAGTTAATTTTCATTACATATTTAGGCATTGTTTGAATGCATGTGTATTCACTTCATCCACATGTGTTGGAGTGGAATGGAATGTAATTTAGTTTAATTCCACTCCAATCCACTTCAACACATATGGATTGAGACGAATACATACGCATCCAAACAAGACATTAGATATTTTTTTTTGAAGAGCCGTATTTAGATGTTTACGTGGCTGATCTAGACATATATACTAGAATGGGCATCCACTTCAATGACTACAAATTTATAGGGGCAACTTAGGAGGGGCTTCACACTTCGGGTGTGGCGGTATATTGGAGGGACTCGAGCCCCGACCGCCCTACAAATAAAAGCTATGCGTCAACAAAAGTTGAAACCGAGGAGCATATTACGTACTTTGTGTATCTTCATCTCTAATAATTTATCCGGTTTATATGTTTAAAAAAATCTAACACCTTTTTATGTCGAAAAAAACCTAGACAAACGCCTAGGTGGTGTGTATTTGTGTAGCTCCGCCTATTGCGTAGCGGAAGTTAGTGATAAACAGTGTTAATACTTGTCAAATAGTATTATTATACTGCCTTTCTTTATGGGGTAAATTTTGAATGTTATAAGGTCTTTCTTTATTCTTTATTACGGTATGGAGAGAGTACGAATAGAAAATGGTACTAGCTACCTTACAGCAGCATGCATGCAAACAGTGTACTGCATGCTGTTGAGGAAGGGTCATGATGCGGATGGAGACTCTTTTCCGGGGCCGGCCTCCTCGCTCCGTCCTAGCTCCTGCTCCTAACCCTGCCAGCAGTGTTGAAGCCTCTGCACTGCACGCGTCCATGCCCGCCCGATGCTTTCGGTCCCTCGATATCCTCAGCCTTCAATCCCTTCATCACTCTCTGAGAGAGTGGAGAGGCACGCATGCATGCATGCACCAGGGCCCTCACAGGTACGTACGGTTAGGCATGCATCGTCTAGCAGCCGGCCGCCCGGCCGCTACGTACTGCTTTGTTGTGGCTGGGGGGGCCTGGGGCTGGCCGGCCGATCGATATGATCAGATTCAGATCAGGTGGCTAGCAGATAGACGACGATACCATCATATTCAGATCAGATCAACGCATGCATGAATGCATGCATACCGATCAATTGTCCCTCTGCCAGGCAGGCGGTGGCCGCCCCCGGGCCTACCGGCGGCGTGTTGCACCGGTGCCGGTGGAATCTCGCATGCGACGGGCGCAAGAGGACAAGGGGCGACTCCATTAGCCTTGACCGCGGGGAAAGCCTGTGCAGCTGTGCTGCGCTGCGGCTCGATCGGCGTGGCGTGCCTCGCTCGTCCGTCCGTCGTCGTCTCCACGAATACTAGCTACTAGTTGCTGGTTGTAGTGGCGAGCATGGACAAGCCACTTGGCAGCACTAGCGCTGCAGCTTGCTAGTTATTACCTGTAGCACCACACTAGTAGGACTGATCCACCATCCATCGATGGATGGATGGATGTGCTCATCGGGTTTCTGATGATGCTTGTCCCCCCGGCCGGCCCCGGTACCTAGCTAGCTAGATACCCTTCCTTTCTTTCTTTCTTTCTTGTAAGTACTACAGTACTATATAATCAATCTATCTTATATTAGCTGCATGCATACATGTTTTTTCCCCTTTACCGTGATTAACATGGTCATAGAGCATAGCAACATGACTACATGAGACTGCATGTGTGTTTAAGTGGCGATGAAAAAGCAGATATATACACTCGTCCATGTTCTTCTGGTTTTACAAAATTTTCTCGAATACGAAAGAAAGCTGCATATCTTTGTATTAATACTGTAGAGTAGAAAGAAGTACGTAACAAAGAAATTACTTGCATTTACCAATATGCATGTTATTGTGATTAGCATCGCGTCACAAAGTAAAGTATACTCATGAGCGAGGCCCTGTGTGCAATTAACCGTGCAATTGCATATACGCAGGAGGTCACGGTCTCCAGGAGAGCAGCAGCAGCCGACGCCGGTGGATCATCAAGACGCCGCAGCAGCCGCTTGTGCTTGGATCCAAGTCCAAGGGCAGGTCCAGCACCAGCAGGGCTGCAGCAACGAAGTGACGATCATGCTCCAGGCATCGGCCCCATGCCACCGCCTGCTGCCTGCTGCCTGCAGCTGCTGCAGCTTACAGCAATGGCCTCATCACCATGCCTGCAGATGAGCCAGCAGCTGATCACCTCTTGACGACGACGACGACGGAGCAAAGACAGCAGGTATAATACTGTATTCCGCTTGCATTCATGCATATGCATTGGAAGCTGCATGCAACACATCTTAAACACACATCAGATCGTTCAAAAAACAAAAAATCTTAAACACTCAGACATGCATGGAATTTATAACGCGGATCACGACCGCATGCACAGCACATTGAATTTTCTGATCGATCTATCTGGGGCGGTATGGTATGCACGCATGGTTTAATTCAGCTCTCAGGTGCTAGCTAGCTGCAAGGGCAGCTAATTCAATGGTGATGACAGTTGACAGCAGCTAGCACTGCATTTATCATCTTCTTTCGTTCGTGGTTCTTGATTCTTAAAGCCATGCAAAGAGGATGTCTTGAATGTTGCTACGACGTAGTGACGTACAGCTGCTTTACTGTTTAAGTATACCAAAATCGTTTTATTTAACATATTCTTCTCACATAAAAATCGATATATAGTCAAAGTTCCATCGTGTAGAGTCCGCTATGCCGAGATGCCCTAAAGACCTAAACTACTTAAATTGGATAATGATTTATTGTTATTACATGCAGGGATTGAAGGTAGGAGATGAACACGTCGACCGTCATCACGGGGAAGAAGATGCCGTCGCTGTTCATCATCTCGTGGACGAGGCTCATGACCACGCAGGAAGCGGCGGCGGCGTCCAACGACGGCGGCCGTCGCCGAACAACACGAGCGGCAGCAGCGGCGACACGGTCTCCAGCTCGGAGTGGCTCCATCAACAGTACTGCAGCGACGGCGGCGTGAGCGTCAGGGTGCTGGGACTGGGTTTGGGAGTGGGACCGCAGCCTGCGACGACGCCGGCTAGCCTCGAGATGAGCCTGGGCCGGCAGGGGTGGCATATGGTGGAGCAGTGCGGCGTCGGCGTCGGCGGCGAGTTCGAGTCCTCGCCGTCGGCGGCGGCCAAAGAGCTAACTCTGCTCAGGTGCTTGTGAAACGATAGATATAGTATGGTGTTCCTTTGTTGCTTGTTAATTAATCAGCTGCTAATCAAACAACAGTTAGCCGTGAGGATGCAAATCGAATCAAAGCGCCAGCTAATAATCATCTTCTTCCTTCTGTTTTTCAATTTCTCCTTGGAAAGTCATTGTTTTTTTTTAACTTGGAAATGACCAGCCATGTGGTGTTTACAAGCTAGCCCATTGCGTGAGCATGACTTGATCGATCCTCTCGTTTTAGCACTGAAACACAGAAAAGACGATCAGAGGGAGGCGAATAGGAGCCAATTAAAATTCTTATCTAAGAATTGGGCCTATATACTAAACTTTGCTAAAACAAGAACAAGCTAGGATACAATATAGAATCTCTAGAAGATGAATTTTAGCCCAGCAAGCGTGGAAGTTCTGCGCATACTGTCTTTAGCAGGCCAAGAAAAAACAGGTTCTCTTACAGCAAGTATAATAACATGCGGTAAGCTGGCTAAATGCTGAAGTAGAGGAGAGAGGAGATGAGAGAGAAGAAGAGGGTTGTAATCTTATAGCCGGCCTAGGCATAAGAATCAAGAAACTCTACGAGAAAGACAAGTGGGCCATGTATTAATAGTGAAGGGCTAACTATTATATGCGTGGGCTGAGAGAAAGCTACAAAAAACCATACAGCCAGCAGCCGGCTGTAATTATTAGCCTTGCTCTTAGACCCTTGTTTAGGCTTAGGCTCCCAAGGCCTCAACACGATTATCGATGCAAAGCGAAAAGTTAGTTGGCTGTCTCTTTACTGCTGGCCAAGCTCACTCTTTTATAGGTGCGGGTACATATTTTCATACGTTCGGGAACAGAATTCCCAGTACCTCTACTACAGTATCTCTTGGGACATTCCTGAGTTCTTTCACTGTTACAGACTCTCACGGGCATACAGGGACATTCCCCCTCTAGAACGGCCTTACAACATGGCCTTCCTGCATGGGCGGCGCCAGGGGTATGCCCTTGTATTCCTTGGAATACCCAAGATTTTGTGTCACAACAATAAATATATCTATACAGATTTACATGTATATTGGTACATATTTTGTGTCCTTGCAAATACGGTCGGCCCATAAGCCCAATACACCAATTAGTTCTGGCAGCCCACGAAGAAATGAAGCCCAAAAATGCAGAAAACCAACGACTCGTTGCATTGTCTACCTGTCTCGCTCTCCCTCCCCGGCTCCTGTCCGTCGCTCTCGCTCGCGAGAGGCAAAACCGCGCCACCTCTCTGCCTCTCGTCTCTCATACGGCCACCATGCCAGTATGGCCATTCGTTCACTCATCGGCCAGCGCCAAAGAATCATCATGAGGCCGGGCAGCCCGCAGCCAAGACCCCTGTGGCCTCGCCTTTTCCCTCACGCCTCCTCCTAGCACGAAGGAGCCATCCACCGATGGCCAGGCGGCGGTGCCCCTTCAGCGTCTATGTCCGGCCCTCCGCCCTCCCCCTCGGTGGCTTGAAGCAAGGTGAGCAGAACACCCCCGATCAATTCTTCAGTGTATGAATTTGAACTATTGAAGATTTCTTTTTCTTATTTTTTGAGTGTATTCTTGTAATGTAGATGAAGTAGCATATCTACATTGTGGGAGAAAGCTGCAAAGGCAAAAAAAAAAATAGCCTCCACATCCACACCAAATGCTACTTATTGTCCATTATATTACATATTTGCTTTGAATTTTTTTATACTTGGCATACCCAGTTACAAATTTCTGGCTCCGCCACTACCTTCCTGGGCCCTTGATGGGCTTCCTTGGTCGTCTGTTGTGGTCCCTTCTCGCCTGCGGGAGCCTTCTACATGAAGGGTCGCTTGAGCCTCCGACAAGGTTCCCTTGAGGCTTCGTCGATCTTCAGAAGGTCTCCACGCTCGGCCTTCCTGTCTTTGGAGAGTCCCTCCGAGGGATCCACAAAGTTTCTGTCGAATGCTGGGTAGAGACCGCAGCCCTCGGGCCCACCTGAAATCACATCATGTATATGAAGGAGGTGTTACCTTAGGTGAACCCTCAGGGGCAGGGCACTGCCCCAATAGTTCCCCCCTCTAGGGGCAAGTGTAACACCCTCGGTGTTATGTTACACCGTTAATCATCTACTAAAACATGTCATGAGCATCATACTTGTGTAGTAATGCATGTGGTAAAGTGAGTAGATAATGCATTGCAACTAAAACAATCAACAAAAATGCGAAACGAAAGTTGCTCCACGATTCGTACAGTTAACAAGTAGGGGTGTAAACTAATTTTTATTGAACAAAAATTACTATAGAACCTATATATGAGACTTAAATAAAGTTTAAAGTATAAACTTTGTAGATAACAATGCAACTCTTGCTGTAGAAAAATAATATTACTAGCTAGTATTTCTAATAGTCTAGAAATGGAACTTGAAAACAAATCCAGCTCAAGACTTAGAAAAATTCCTAAGGTGGGCAGCAGTGTGACAAAGCCATGTTTGGCAAATTATTCTGTGAAATTGAGTTAAGAAGGGGTGTCGTGTTGTAGCTCTTGATGATAGCCTAAGGTGCCCTCTCTAGAGTAGTGAAGATGGCTTGGTTCCAAATTGAATCGTTTAGTTTTTATGTGCGCTTTAAAATTCGTGCGCGTACTCAGTCTCGGGCCGTCGGGCTCGGGCTCATGGTCACCACGCGTGACCGTTCTGCGTCGCTGCGCGGCTGTGCCGTGCACGCGCATGAGTAGCCGCACACCGGCCGACCGCGGCTGCCCTTGGTCTGGCCGTGGCCTGGCCACGGCTTGGCCGCTCTAGCCACACCGCTTGCAGCCAGTCGTAGGCCACTGTGCCCCGCCGGCCCACTCTGCGCCCGACCACCACTGCCACCGCAGCTGCCGCTGATGCTGCTGCTGCCCTCCATGTCACGCGTCGCGGTCACATTCGCTGCTGCTGCCGTCGTGTCACTCCCGCACGCACGTCTGCTCGCTGCATCGCGCTGCCCCCTCCCTGGCCCGATTGGGTGCCGTCCGCACGTGGCTGTGCACGCCGTCGTCATGCCATTATTGGCGCTGTGGTGCGCGGGCCATGGCCAGTCCTGGATGTTCGTGCTCGTCCCCTCGTGCTTGGACGTAGGTCCCTCGGCCCTGACAACCGCGTCCCGTAGGTGAGGATCGACCTCCTAGGTGCGTTGGAGGGGCTCCCGGTTGGCCGGTGTGGTAGCTCCGTGCCAGCCGACGCCGCGCCGACGAGCGCGAGGGCGTCGGGGACCGGTCGGATGTAAAGATGGGTTAGGGCGAGGGCCTATCGGCATAAGGCCCGACTGTAGGAATAGGGCGCATAAGAGCTGCGTTAATACTAGAAAGAGCAAGGATGTTTTTGCAAAAGCGCACCACACGCGCGGGCTCCCTCCCGCCGTGGGCCGGCCTGTGTGCGTACGCGCGCGAGTCGGTCGCGTCCGCATGGTTGTGGGCCATGCTGGTGAATTCGTTTTTCCTTTTATTAGAAAATAGAAATAGCCTTATATTTTAGTTTCTGTGCTGAACTTTGATAATTAACGACAATTCATATAGGTGTCCAAAAATCGTGAAACCAATTTTGTTAGGCTCTTAAATTCTTTATATATCTGTTAGTATAATTATTTCATACATATCTGTGATGAAACTGAGGTCTATTAAATCAATTAGAAATACTTAATATTATTAGGTTAATAATTGTAGGAATTTTTGTGGTAAAATGGTAATAGCTTTAGCTCTAAAAATTTTATTATAGTTTTCTAGTATTATTATGTGCTCGCTGTAATTTTTGTAGCCATAGAATAGGCTAAGCTTTAGGGTAGTTAGATACTCCTTGTTTTAATATATGTTAAATCGCTAGTAGAAGCAAGAATATATTTTAGTTGTTAAGTTAATACGTGTTAGATGAATTTGTACCTTGTTTGATGAAAATACTAGTTAGCTTAGTATCTTAGTCATTAGAATTAGCTTAGTAGTTTAGTAGATGTATTCTTATTTTAGGAGCTGTTGTTGCTAAAATACTAAGTGTTGCATCATCGTTGTATGCATGTAGAGAACGAGTTGGTGGAGTTCGTGACCACCAGAGAGCAAGAGTACGAGGAGTACGAGGAGGAGGTCCTCGTAGAGGAGGAAGCCTCGGAGTCACTAACGACTGACATAGCTGACAATCTACATGCCCAAGGCAAGCCTCGGTGCATGACCCTTATTTTGAATAATCATTGGATATATATATATATATATATATATATATATATGTGTGTGTGTGTGTGTGATGTGCATTTACGTTACATGATTTATATTGAAACTACATGCATAGATAAACCTACCTATGAGTCCTACTAGCATAGGTCGAGTAGCTGCTATGATTAGGCTATCGGTTGCGTGAGTAACCTGCGGTTACTCACAATAGGTGATTATTATTATTACTCCCATGATAAAATGGTGAAAGGAAATGGAGACTGGGCAGGGATATGGTACGAGTATTGGTGGGTGTAATAGGTTGTGCCCCACGGCCAATGGGGCATAGCTTGGTTACACTATTTTCCCTGTCCGTGTCGGATAAGGATCGTCCGTTGCTGTGGATGGTAGTCAGGTCACAGACTTATTATTCTGAGCACATACTTGCTTATGGGAGCGGGAAGGCTTGTTGCTCTCTTGTCCTGGGTTCTGGCTCTTTCTAGATTGACTGATTGGAGGCGAGGATGGTGGAGGTCTAAGCACCACATCGAGTCCGGGACTCAGGAGTGGGGGCTTTGAGTCCAAGTTTGGATGGGGACCTAGACCCCTTGACAGGGGAGTGGTGGGTTGGTCTTGCTTGTGCCTAGGGTACAAGCGGGGCGTGTGTTTCGGGATACCTAGTTAGGATACATTGGTTCACAAATCGCCGTGTGATACGGTACGACTTGGCTATGGTCTAGCACCATAGTAAGAACTGGAAGATGAAAGGGGATGAATGGATCTTATTGCTCAACTCTTGCTTGAAAGTAGAACAGGTGCTTACATAGAATTGTTAGCTAATG